GACAGCCCAGGCCAACAGTCAGCTGGAGCTCAGTAGCAGCTTTCCTGGGCCCACGGAGAATCCTCTTCCGGCTCAAAGCAATCCTAATGAGATTACTTCTTCCCATGATGTTACCTGCCTCATCTCTGTAGGCAATTTACTTTGCACTGTCTGCTGTGGAGAGAAAGCATAGAAAAGTAGGGCTGCCCCACGTTGAAGGGAGGACGGAGGCCTGAAGTCCTTCCCCAAGGCCTATGGGGCAGTTTCAAGGAAACCTAGAGGTCCAGAAAACGGTAGGCTCATTCTTTGTCTTAAAGGGCCCCTGTTATTTCCAAAAGCTCAACTTGGAGCTTCCTGTTGTGACACGGATTACAAATGTATTATCTTGAAAAGGTTAGATTACATTACTCATATGAAGAGTTAGCTCATGTGTGCCTATGACAGGACATCACCTAAGCATTTCTCCAAGGCATCAGACATGACTTTTACCCGGAGGAATTAATAGCCCCGGCCCCACCCATGGTAATGAGCTCACATACCAACGCAGGGCTTAGCTCCACGAGGTAGCCCCGCACCTCTGAAACACAAAGCATGTGTCAGTGTCCACCTGTGCCCACACTCTGGTGGGTCCGTTTTCTAATTTTACACAGTATCATAGCTGTTGACCCATATCTAACACTTAGCATGACACATGTGCTCAAAACTTTCGTAGTAGATAATTCCTGTGGCTTCAGAAATGGAAGGACTGAGCCACACGCTTGAGAGAGGATTCCATCAGAATTGGGGGCTACACTGGGCTCCCTGCTAAAGGGGAGTCTGAAATCCAATTTGCTTTGCCTAAGGTGCCATCTCCCTTTCCGGAATTAGACATTTCCTCAGTCCCATGTCATCCCTTCCTGCATCACCCCATCTGTCAAACGAGGCCCCTCCGCCCTCCCTGCCAGCTGGAACCTGCACTTCTTGCCGTCGGTGCTTGGCCATCATCCTTCCCTTAGTTGATATTAGGATCTGCCTGGTTTATCTTTTCTGGTCCTTGGGTGGTGGATATGGTGGAGGACAAACATGCCCTTGGCACCAAGATACCAGGAAGAGCTCAGCTCCATTGGCACATTTTCAGTACCCACAAGCACACCCATGTTACAATACGCTAAGAACCATCAGGATAGAGACAGGTGACAATCTTCAAGGATACACTCTTTCAATCGAATGCCAAGGTTACCCTGGCAAACCTCCTCCCCTTGACTCTTTAAAAGGGCCCAGCTGAGGGTCAAGGAGTGCTGTCTGGGCACAGTGGCTCATATCTGTAATCCTAGCACTTTGGGAGGCCGAGGTGGGTGGATCACCTGAGGTCAAGGGTCCAGGACCAGCCTGGCCAACACGACAAAACCCTGTCTCTACTGAAAATACAAAAATCAACTAGGTGTGGTGGCACAAGTCTATAATTCCAGCTTGAACCCAGGAGGAGGAGGTCACAGTGAGCCAAGATCATGCCATTGCACTCCAGCCTGGGCAACAGAGTGAGACTCTGTCTCAAAAAAAAAAAAGGTCAGTTCTGTGGCTCATGCCTCATGCCTGTAATGTCAGCATTTTGGGAGACCAAGGTGGGCAGATCACGAGGTCAAGATATCGAGATTACCCTGGCCAACATGGTGAAACCCCGTCTCTACCAAAAATACAAAAATGAGCTAGGCATGGTGGTGAGAACCTGTAGTCCCAGCTACTCAGGAGGCTGAGGCAGGAGAATCAGTTGAACCCAGGAGTTGGAGGTTGCAGTGAGCCAAAATCACATCACTGCACTCCAAAAAAAAAAAAGGAGTGCTGTGGGGTGGAGGAAGGAAGAGGGAAGGGGTTGCAATGGAGAACCCTAAATGAAAGCCAAGGGAAGGGGTTGCAATGGGGAAACAAGTTTGGTTTTGATGTTTTCATTTTCTTTTTACACTTATACAATCAGTCTTAATCAAAACATATTCCTTGGAGCTAGGCTTGAGATACCCATTATCTGCCCAAGATGCTGATAAACAACATGAGGTCATTCATGAACCAAAACAACTTCTGGCTTCTCTCTGTTGCCCCAAGACCCCAGGGGCTTCACTAGTAAACTCGGGTGGGAAATGTCCTGAGAATAGCAGGGTTTTTCCAAGATACTAGCAGACAGTTCCATTTCAATGGCAAAGGGTACAAAAAGATTTAAAGGGCGGGGTGCAGGGCAGTGCGGTGTGAGCTCTACCCACATCCTGAGCTGTGGGGTGGGGGTAATGTTAGGAACTGAGATGCCTTTCTCTAAGGCCCAGAGTGCAGGCATTGGCTCCCAAAGGCAGCGAACACACTACCCACTTTCGCCTGGGCGCTCACTCACACCTCCTTGGGGACTAGGTCAGGTAGTGCCCTCCCCTAGTCCCCAAAACACCTAGGATTCATCCCTATTGCCATGGCTTGGGTACTTTTTACTTAACTGACTTTCCCATTGCGCTGTGGGGCCTGACATTGCCTGCGCCAGCCATCTAGTAGGTGCCTAGTCCATGAGCAGTGAATGGGCAAATTCCTTGTCAAGCCAGCTCAGCAGGCCCACCGCCTAGAGAAGGTCCATTCATGACCACATGTTGTACGTCTACCTGGTGCCTCTCTACAGCTAGGTGATAATAATGATGATGATGCTAATCGTAATGCTAATAACAAGTGGGCACTTTCTGTGCTCTATGTGCCAGGCACTGGGGTAATGCTGGAGTCCTGCATTCCCTGACTGCATGCCTCTCCTGTGGCTGACTTCAGCAGAGCAATGCTGCCAACATCTCTAACCCACTCCTCATTCATACCTCCCCACCAGGAGTGCCTTCTTAAGTGGAATTGAGGGACAGAAGGAACAACCTGTTAGGCTCAGTGCCATCTGGTTTCTCCTGCAGATCTGCTTGCTCACAAGAAAGGTACACCCTGCTCTGCTCCCATCATGCAGAAGCCGAGGGGGCGGCTCTGCCCCTGTAGCAGGTGCCTGCCCCACATGGCTCAGCCTGGCACTGGGTGGGTCTAGTTCAGGGGAATGATCGGAAACACACTTTGTCCCTGATGCACAGCATCTTATTAATCGAAGATGTACATGGTAACATCTCTGAGATTCGGATGCATCTTCCAGTTGGCTGTGATGTTTCTTTCTTGGTAGGACGTCTCATACTCAATGGCATCTTAGATTCAAAGAAACTTGGTAAGCAATATTCTCTAGTTAGCCTTATCAGAGAGCTGGTATTTTGCTCTCCATCTGTCCCAAGGAATTAGTGCTTAACTGGCTCTGAACACAGGCAGTGGGGGAAGGGGTGTGACTTATCACCACCCTCACCATCCAACCCCTTGCGCTGAGCACTTCCCATGTCCTGAACTATGCAGATGAGGAAAACGCCTTCTCCAGCCTTAAGAACTGAATGGCCCAGGGCAGAGAGAGGAGAAGCACTAGCAAGCCAACTGAGACATGGAGGACTCATGTGGTCCAAGTGTGTGCGTGCATGTGTGTCCACGAGTACGTATATGTGCACATGCATGGGCACTCAGGCCTTGCCCCTGCATCCTTTGGCTCCTGGTCATTGTCTCAGCCAACTCTTCCTCCCTTCACTGGACTCCTGAGAGATTCCCAAAGTTCACTCCCCAGTCCTCTCATCTGGCTTCCGCCTGACAATGAAGGTCACCTTTATGGATTGAATTGTGCCCGCAACAGACCTCTATGTTGAAGTCTTAACTCCCAGTAACTGAGAAGGTGCCTGTATTTGGAGATAAGCCCTTTAGAGGGGTGATTAAGTTAAAATGAGGCTGCTAGGGTGGGCTGGCATGGACCACTTCAATATGACTGGCATCCATATAAAGGGGAAATTTGGACTTATAGAGGGAAAATCATGGCCACAGGCAAGCCGGGAGAGAGGCCCCGAGTGGATGCTTCCCTTGCAGCTCTCAGAAGGAAACAACCTTGCCCACATCTTGGACTTCCAGCCTCCAGAGCTGTGGGATGGTAACTCCCATCGGCTAAGCCACCCAGTTTGAGGTGCTGTGTCACAGTAGCCCAAGCAGACGAACACTCACCGAGAACATCCCAGTGCCCCCAGACAGCCACTCCTCCCTCCTCTCTCCTTGTTTTTCTGCTGTCACCCAGGCTGGAGTGCAGTGGCGCAATCTCCGCTCACTGCAACCTCCACCTCCTGGGTTCAAGCCTCCTGTCTCAGCCTTCTGAGTAGCTGGGATTACAAGCACTCACCACCATGCCCGGCTAATTTTTGTATTTTTTTGTAGAGAGGGGGTTTCACCATGTTGGCCAGGCTGGTCCCGACCTCCTGGCCTCAAGCGATCTACCCACCTCGGCCTCCCAAAGTGCTGAGATTACAGGCATGAGCCACTGCACCCAGCCATTTCCCCTGTATGTAACACCAAAACTTGCTCTTCAGCAGCAACGGCACAGCTCCTGCTGGCCTCTCTCACTGCCCCCCTTGATCCAGCTGCCTGCCAATGCTGATGTCTCCCCACTCCTACACATGCTGGCCAGAGGACCTCCTTCTCACTGAGGCTTCCACCCCCATCTGAATGCTGATGACTCCAAAGCCCTGTCTCTAACTTACATATGTGATCCAAGGTTCGGAGCAGACATCCCCCTGCCTCCTGGACATCTCTGCCGAATATCCTGCAGGCATCTCAAACAATACCTATCCAAAACTGGGCACCGGGCATCCTTTCCTGGTCTCTGCCCTCCCCAGTACGTCTGTCCCAGCAAAGAGCCCCACTGTGTCTGGGACACCTCCCTTGGTCTACTGGTCCTGAGACTGGGTGACAGACTTCTCTACATACCCAGGGCACCCAGTTCTCCTCGGTACCCTGGGTCACACCATCCTGTCATGGATCCTGGGACATCTTTCAAAGCAGAAGCAGTGTTAGACTCAACTCTATACAGAGAGATCTCAGACGCACACTCCAGACAACACCGTCCCAGAGGAAGGGGCAGAAACCCTTCTGTACCAGCTACACAATGATCAAGCAACTGCCACTCAAAGAGGCACCGTACCACAGACAAGTTTTATTATCCTGCATAGAGAGCCCAAGAAATATAAAAACATCTCCAAAAGGAACCTCCTCCAACTGGCCCCCTCTCTCCCTGGGTGAGCTCAGACCAGGGTAATAGGTGCTTGCAGGCTACCTCTGTCCAGTGAACAAGTTCCATATAAAAATAGATCTGTAGAGGGCTCCCAGAGAGCCACTGCCCACACCACACCTGTGCAGGACCAAGGCCTGGGACCCATCAGGATTCTGGGACCTCACTCCTCAGTGGAGGGGAGATCTACCCTGGACACCGAAGTCCTGCCAACACAGCCAGGGGCCCTACTGCAGGAACAGCTGGGGTAGACGGAGAAGACTTTGCCCTGCAGAGAGTGACTGATGTGGCTGGAGATAGGGATGAGGCTCCATCCACCCAAGAAGGGATGCTGGTCCCCCCATCCCCTGGATGCTGGTCCGGGCTTCCTAGGAGGGGTGGGGTGGGGAAGGCAGTTCCTGGAGGGCACCTGACTGGGGGCTCCCCCAACCCTGACGAAGGTGGTAGCAACATCTTGGTCTCCCCAGTACTCCCAAAGTCACTGAGCTGGAGGGGGTGCTCAGGAGATGGGGAGGCAGGGGACTGGGGGAGATTCCAAGAGGTGGGGAACTGCTGCTGGCAGGGTGAGGCCAAAGGCACCGCTGTGAGTCATGTCCCCCACCTTGAGGTGCTCCGCAAAGACGCACTGCACCTTCCCGCCTCTGGGCTCTTTCTCATGCTAGCCTCTCTGCCTGGACTCATCTTGTCCGAGGCCTGCCATCTTGCCTGCCGAACACTCCACCCACCCCAAGGAAAGAACCTCCCCCTCCCACCTGCAAGGCCCTGTTCAACTTAATCTCAACTTCACACTTGGAGAGTGGGCATCTCCCCCTCCAGCCTACCCACCCACTGACCCAGATGGCTGCTGGGGGCCCTGAGCACTGGTGGATGGTGTTCTGGAACGACTTCTTGGTACCTGAGCTCTTCTCCTGGGCTAGTCTGAACCCCTGCAAGGGCAGGCTGTGTGTCTCTTTCATGTCCTTCCTCTACTCCTGTCTCCTTCTTCCTGCCCCATCCCACCCCACCCACACACTGCCAAGCAGAGCAGACAAGTGTCAGGGGTGGTCTGGACAAACTCAGCCCCTGTAGCCCTACCGAGATCCAGCTGCCTTCCTGCCATCCTACAAAAACCCTGGCACGCTGACTCCCACCATTCCCAGGGGCCCTTGTGGATAAGAAACTCCGTGGTGGGCTCAGCACAACCACTTCTGCCAGGGCTCCACAGAAGTCAGAGTTGGGAGGGGCGGGCTCCATGGAAGGCCACATAGTGCCCAAGTCATGGAGGTGGCTGGAGGGGGGTGGCCTCCAGAGTCCCCACGGGCTGTACAGGGAAGTGGGTGGTGCCATAGGGCAGGACCAAGGACTCTCTCTCCAGAGCCAGCCTCGTCCCTGGATTGGGTTCTGACCCCAGCTCTGACCCTCATTCCTCACTTGGCTTCAGTTTCCCCCATCTGGGGGTTAGACCAGCCTGTATAAGAGAGAGGACCCATCTCTGAGTCTTCTCTTCACCCTCCTCAAGTCTGGAGAGAAAAGCTCTTGGGTCCCTCGGGAGATGGGCCTTCATGCTTTTCCCAGATGTCCTGACCACTGAGTTCATAAAAAGAATGCACACAAGGGCCTCTTGGGGCCTCAGGCAGCACCAGGGCCTTTGTGGTCTGGCCTGGCCAGGACTCTTGGCCTCACCCTGAACTGTCAGCCCAAGGTGGGTGGACACAGAAACCCCAGCTCCTGAGTCTAGGGCTCTTGGGCATTAGCCCCTGAGCTCAGCACCATCTTTGCCTGCCTGGGCCTTGGCCAGCGTCCAGTCAGCCCCGCCAAGGCACGGGGAGCTGAGAATGATGCTACTCCGGCCCCGCCCCCGACGCCTGAGCCACCAGGCAGCTGCGGTCACTGCCAGGTGGAACAAAAGCACCCAGGACCCATGCTGTCTGACTGGTCACTGGGTCTGTGGGAAAAGGGAGCACCCCATGGGGTAGTTCCCAGCCCCCAGTGGGTACAAATGGCAGTTGGGCATGGGCCAGGCAATCTCAACCCACTGTCTTCCCTCCCATCCCTGCCCCAGCTCTTCTCTGAGACCCTGAATTTCCTCTTGCTGTTATCTCAGGGGTCCTCCCTAGAGATCTGAACCTCTTTTCAGGGACACTGAGTTGGCCAAGGTGTTCAGACTGGTGGAAATGGGAGGAGCAGGCAGCGAAAGCGGGGAAGCTGTGGCCCCACACCAGCTCTGGGCCCAAGCGAGGAAGACGGCGTTCCCTCCCACTGCTGGAGCGCAGCTTGCCACGGTTCCTCAGGCAGGGCTGGGGGTCTGGACCCCCACTGGAGTCCTGCCTTGGAAGAAGGGGGGCCACTCACACCTGTACCCCCTGGCCCTGCAGCTGGAGCACTCGTGCCTGCAGGGCACCGATCCCGCTAAGGAGGGCCTCTCGATGTTCAGCCGAAGAGATTCCCAGGCTCACCAGGTCCCTGAAACAAAGGCTGGTCACACTGGCCGGCTTAACCCCAACTTCTGTTCCTCCCATGAAGGCCCTCCACTATCCCTCCCCTTTTCTGGACAAGGCAGGGCTCCCCAACATAGGCAGGGGCAGGGTCCCTGGAATCCCCCAGCCCTAGCCTTGACCTTGGTGCCTTGAACTCACTGGGCAGTCATCTCGGCCACAGCCTCCAGGCTCCCATAGCCAGCAGCCGCGAAGCTGTCCTTGTAGCGGCACAGGTCCAGGGCCTCCAGCCACGCGCCCACAGAGCCAAAGGAGGGGAAAGTGGAGAAGGCACGGTCCGCTAGCGGGGTGGGAGGCCTGCAGGTCAGAGGAGCTGTGCTCAACCGACAGCTGGGATCTGGGCCCAGACCTGGTGGCCTCCCAAGGAGAGGCCAGCTGGGGGTGGACAGGAGAAGAGGAGGGTAACCGGGCCCCAGGGCTGAACCCGGCTCACAGGGGTGCTGTGCATTCCCGCAGAGGCGAGGGCTTCAGGCTCTTTAGGCAGGTAGAAGCAGAGCCAGCTAAAGGTATGGGAGTATCTGGAACAATCTGGGGTAGGACATGCCTAGGACTGGTTGGTGGCTCGTATTTGGAACAATGAACATTAATTTCACATATTCGATTCATTGGAACTACAGATGTGTTAGGGCTATTACCAAGTCTGTTTCTCCAGTCAGAGGCCATTGCACCCAGGGATGTGGGCAAAATCCAGGAGAAGCAGAAGTGACCAGGACAGATGTGCAGTGAGGTGGGCCTGGACAGGTGGGAGGCTACAGCCCTCTGGGGCAATGGGGTGAGCAATCGCTCCTGGACAGGTAGGGGGATGGGTGGAGATGGTGGGTTTGCACTTGCAACATGCAGGGAGGCCCTCCATGGGCAGATGAGAGGCTGGGGGTCCCACGTGGGAACATACCTGGGACAGGTGGTTGGGGCACCCTTGGGGGGCTCTGGGTCCTGCACCATCTTGCTCAGGATGCTGTGGATCTGGGAGAACCTGGGCCGCTCACCTGGGTCCTTCTGCCAGCAGTCAAGCATTAGTCGGTGCAGCAGAGTGGGACAGTTCCTGGGGGGTGGCAGCCGAAAGCCATCCTCCACAGCCTTGATCACCTGGGCCATGCGGGTGGAAAGCAGAGAGGAGGCTCTGGGTTCCCCCAGCACACCATGCACACACACACACACATTGCAAGGAGGACTCGGGCAATGGCCAGGCAGAACCAGACGCAAGCAGATGGAGAAGAGGGGCCTGGGGCAGGAAGGCTGAGGGTCAATGGGCAGAGGTCAGGGAGCTGGAGCCCGAGGTGAGAGGGTCAGAAGGCCTGGAGCTGGAGCCACAGATTACTCACATCTTGGCCAGACATGTCCCAGTAAGGCCGCTCTCCAAAGGCCATCACCTCCCACATGACGATGCCGAAGCTCCACACGTCACTGGCAGAGCTGAAGTGGCCGAACTGAAGTGTCTCAGGGGCGGCCCACAGCGCCGGGCTCCGGCCACTCTGTAGTGCAGGCAGGTCAGGAGCAAGTAGCAACTGGGTCACACGCAAGTTTCCCCACCACACTGAGCCCCAGATCCAGCCCTGTCGTCCTCCCAGGCAAGCCCGAACCCCAGCTTCACATCTGGGAAAGGCAAACATACTGATTTCAAGACAGGGTACCCTCTGACATTTATTCCAAGACCAACTAGGTGGAGGGGCAGGGAAGGGAATGGAAGTGGGGAGCTAGGGGTTCCAGGGCAGCTTGGTGGGAAACAGGCGGCACAGGCAGGCTCAGCTGGGGGAGGGTGCCCTCACCATGGTGGTGTAGACAGCCTCTGCTCGGTCCCGGGGGCCCCGCCCAAAGCCAGAGATCTTGCAGACAAGGTCGCTGCTGACCAGCACACGGCGAGCCGCCAGGCCCCGGTGAACGTAGCCCATCTCTGACAGATACTTCATGGCTGATGCCAGCCCTGGCAGCAACCCCATCAGCTGTCCAGCCATCAGCTGTCCCTCATGCCGCTGAGGGAGAAGACAGAGGCTAGGGCTGTGGGCTTGGATCCCCTGGTACTGTGTGACACCACGGTGGTCACTAGCTCTCACTGTGCTTTACCCTGTGACCACAGGTCAGCCCAGCCAGTGGGGATGATGCCAATTCCAAGCCCTACCAAAGAGAAAAGTGGAGGACCCCTGCCTGCTTTACAGAATAAAGTGGTCATCGGCAGCCCCAGGGCCACTCACCCTGAGGAAACTGTCCAGGGCCCCATGGCTCATGTACTCGGTGACGATCATCAAGGTGCTTCCTGTGCCCAGGGATGGAAACACACACGCTAAGTTGCCTCCTCACCCTCCACCCGGCACACACACAAGTTTCCCCACTGGGGCCTCAGACTGGGCCTCGAGAGCCAGAACCAGCATGAAGCTCCCTAATCTTGGCACCCTCCTGCCCTGCCCAGGGCCCCCTAAGCCAAGGAACAAAAGAGGAGACATCTGTAGGGGGATAAAGGTCAAGGTCAGGAGCTGCAACAAGCTTTCTAAGGAAGATCACTCATGGGCAAGGGGACCCACCCCCTAGAGTATCACAGGTCAGAAAGGTTACTCTGAGCCAGAGCGGCCACTCCAGGAGAAGGGCCACCCTGAGTCAGTGAAAGCTGAGGCTGCTGGCTGAAGTTCCCTCCCATGGCTGAGGGAAGGACCTGGAGGGGCAGGGGCACCCCAACTCCCACCCCATCATTTCCATCCCCCATACCCGGGGCAGCAGGAAGGGGGGCACCGGGCCCTACCTCGGGTGACAACGCCCTCCAGCCGCACGATGTGGCTATGGTCAAACTGGCCCAGCGTGAGGGCCTCGGCCAGGAAGCCGAGCCTCTGTGAGTCTGAGGCACTGTCCCTCAGTGTATGCACGGCTACAGGCAGCTCCTGGCGGCCGGGAAGCTGCAGGCAGCCACAGCACAGCTCCCCAAACCGCCCTGTGGGGAAACAGCATGACTCTGACTAGCCTGGCCACACGGCAAAACACATAAATTAACCAGGTGTGGTGGCGCATGCCTGTAATCCCAGGTACTTGGGAAGCTGAGGCAGGAAAATCACTTGAACCCAGGAGGTGGAGGTTGCAGTGAGCTGAGATTGTGCCACTGCACTTTAGACTGGGCAACAGAGCGAGACTCTGTCTCAAACAAAAAAAAAAAAAAAAGGAAAGAAGGAAAGTGACTGCAGATCATGGACTCTTTCCAATCTAAATCCTGGTAAACAGAGAAGCAGTGTGACCTGGAATTCCATCTCTCTTGGCCTCAGTCTCCTCTGTGAAATGAAGATTCCTCCCTGCCTTCCTCAGTGGGGGAAGGTTTCCAAGACTTGAAGAAGGGACGTGGCACATGCCAATGTGCCAACAGCCATCAAACCCCATGTGACCCAGGATAGACGGCAATGACATGTATTCTGTCACCCTGCCCCTTTCCAGCTTCTGTCCAGCGGGTCTGGAGACAGTGTCAGGGAATAATGTCAGGTTCCCCGAGAAAGCAGCTGCCGTCTCTGAGCACAGGGGTTGAGGATTTGCAGTAAGGAAGAAAGGCCAGCAGGAGTCTGGCCCTTAGAGGGCAAACACCAACAGCCAGGCCCTGTGGGGAGAACTGGGAGGTCCCCACAACAGCCCCCAGGAGGCAGGTATCATGCCCCTGTCACAGATGAGAACCTGAGGCTCTGAGCAAACGAGGGACATGCCCTGATCATGAGGAGGTAAGTGGAAGAGCCAGGACTAGAACTCAGGTATGCCTGGCCCCCAGGCTTACAAAGGCCCTTCCCCCCTGCCACATGAATGCCTGGAACTAAACTGCCAGTGGCAGTGTGCAGAGGTCATGGAGGGACCTTGAGGACCGGGAGAGGGTCACGGACCCTCTGCCACCCTCTTCCCTGTAATCAGCCAAGGCAGGAACTTTCTGGGTGGAAGGTGGGCTTGGTGTGGAGGCAGGGTTTCCAGGCAGGGACTTGGGTGGAGGTGGGCTTCAGGATAGAGGTGTGGACAGAGTGGGGGCATGGCCTGTAGAGTAGGTGGGGCTTCCACATGGGGACAAGGCTTCCTGGGCACCCAGCTTGCCTGCTCCAAGGCTCCTCTCCAGCATGACGCTTTTCACATCCAGCTCCTTGGCGAATAGATGCACAGCCTGCAGCGGGTCCCCACAGCTCTGGGGGTCCAGGAATGTTCGACGTGTAGGGACTTTGACTGGGAGAGAAAGAGATGATCCTAGGGAAAGGGGCCTCCATCGCTGGGGTGGACACAGGGGCTCATGCAGTGGAACTAGGCCGAGGGCGGAGGAGTGAGGCAGGGTGGAGCCCACCCCTCCCCACCCAAGCCCAGACAACTCACAGTGGAAATACAGCTCCTCTTCATCATGGGCATCCCCTCCTCCTTTGCCATAGCTGCAGGGCCTGGCAGGAAGTTCAGGGTCATTCTTTCAGCCAGGCTACCCCGGCCCTTCCCACTGCAGAGCACTGAAGCCAGCACCTCTTTGTCCCTTCAAAAGACAAGGTCTGTGCCCTGGGGGAGGGACCTTCGCGCCCAGCTGGTTGAAAAGCTTCTCTGTGGTTTGACTACCTCCCCATAGCACAGATACAACTGTAGCCCTAGACGAAACCCTCACCACTGCCACCCTTCCCAGCTACTTGCACACAGTGAAATGAGTGCAACTCCAGAGGTACCCAATCCATACCCTGACTGCAGGACCCCAGCTGCCCTGCCTGCGGTTCTGTGAAAGTGTGAATAAGGCAAGCAGACCCAGCACTCAGGGGCAGCTTCTGGTCTGGTCAGGAAAACAAACACGGAGGGTTAGCCATAAGCCCACTCGCCAGTGCCGGCAAAGGAGAAGGGCAGTGTACTGTGGGGACATGGGACAGACAGGCCTGACCTGATTCGAGGTCACTGTGGATGGCTTCCCGAGACAGAGGCAGCCAAGGGCCAAAGGACTGCATCACAGTCAACAAAGCCACAGGCTGATACTTGGGCTCCCCCAGGGGTGGGGCCTTACTGGCCCAGATAAAGACTTTGGCTTTTATTCTGGGAGCAGAGGAGAGCCCCTGTGGGGTTTAAGCAGAGGAGTGCGGTGATTTGATTTATACTTTAGAAAGAGCTCCAGTTGCAGGGTGGAAGCTGCCATTGGTGTCACCACAGGGGATGAGCTGGCAGTGGTTCTGCCATGGGGTCAACATGGGCATGGAGAGAGGCAGGGGACTCCAGTGACAGGAAGGTGGCAGGGATCACAGGACTGAGAGGTGGCCGGACGGCAGAAAGGAAGAGGGACAAGTTGCCCACAGCGTTTATGGCAGTGCCATTTACTGGGACGAGGAGACAGAAAGTTCACATTTAGACATCTGAGTTTGTGCGCCTGGGTAATAAGCAGGAAAGATAAGAAGGGAGTTCAACATGTGTGTGTCTGGAGCTTGGAAGAGAGGCCTCCTCTGCAGATACAAATCAGGAGCCACGAGCATGGCCCAGGGAGAGGATGGAGTCCGAGAAGAGGGACTGGGAACAAGTCTGAGAAACCCCAACATGCAGGCTAGAGGAAGGAAGCAGGAGGACAGTACAAAAGAACTCCCAGAGGAACAGGAGAGAGCGGGGAAACTGGGGGCGCTCTGGAGGCGATACTGTGGTACCACAGGGATCAAGGACAGAGAAAGCAGAGCGGGTGGTGAGAGAAATCACATAAAGGTACAAGGAGGAGAGACCAAGGGCGGAGTCTCCAAAGTTTTCACGGGAGAGATGATGGCGTGTAGATACAGATGGGAAGGAGGAGCAAGGCTGTCACACAGGGGGGAGGTGGCCACTAAAGGGGGTTGACAGCCTGGGCTGGGAACCTGACCACAAAGACCTGCTTCCCAGCTCCTCCACTTGGTAGCTGTGCGACTGGGTGGCTCCGTTTTCTCTTTAATAAAATTAGAATAACGCTAGGCCTGCCACACAGCAGACTGTCAGACAGCTCACCAAGGCTCCACACACGTCCCCTGTTATGTGGGGCAGAGGGGGACATTAGGAGTAATAGTGGGCTCCCAAATGGCAAAAGGGTGGGGTTCAGTCATAGGTGGAAGGATTGATTCTGGCTGGGAGGCTCACCTCCTCTAGAGAAAAGGGGGTGAGGATGGGTGCAGAAGCAGGCAGGTTTGTGGGCTGGGTGGTGAGAAGTCCAGGGGCCAGTGACGAGGCTAAAGACCAGGTGTGACAGGTGTGACTGAGAGAGCAACCTGCAAAGACAGGGTGTCTACAGGCCAAGAGTAGAACTGGATTAAGTACTGGGGTGAGGTTGGGCATGGTGGCTCATGCCTGTAATCCCAGCACTTTTGGAGTCCAAGGGTGATGGATCACCTGAGGTCAGGAGTTCGAGACCAGCCTGGTGAACGTGGTGAAACCCCATCTCTACTAAAAATACAAAAAAAAAAATTAGCTGGATATGGTGGCACAGGCTTGTAGTCCCAGCTACTCAGGAGTCTGAGGCAAAAGAATCACTTGAATGGGGGAGGCAGAGGCTGCAGTGAGCTGAGATCATGTCACTGCACTCCAGCCTGGGTGACAAGAGCAAGACTCCATCTAAAAAAAACAGTATTGATGTGAAGCATTCTAGGCGGACGGTCAGGAGGAACAGAAGAGATGATCCTTGGGAATGAGAAGTCAAAGAACCAAGAGGCAAGCCGGGGGACAGGCTGTCCAGCAGCTACTGAAGTCACCCAAGGTGGTGACAGGGCTTCCGTGAATAAGGAGCAACATCCAGGAGAGATGGGTGGAGATGAAGTGGGGAAGGCTGAATGGATGGAGGAGTGAAAGAGGGTGCATGGTGAGGAGAGGAGAAAAGCTTTCACTGGACCACATGGCCAAGTGAGAAGTGGGCAAGCCAGGGTGGACTGAAGAGGAGGGAAATTGGAGGTGAGGGACTATGGCGCAGAGCATGGCGTAAGAGGTGCTGCAAACAGCCTGCCAGGCCGGGACATGCATGCTGGAGAAGAATGTCTCTCTACCCCTCCGCACTCCCCATTTTGGTGCAGCTGGATTTGGGGTTTAGAATCCTGCCCGGGGTTGCTCGGCCTCTGTAGGCACCTGTCTCCAGGGTGCTCCTGACCTGCAAAGCCTCTGCTTGAAAGAGGGGCTCTTGGCTTTCTTGTCTCCCTTTCCTCCTTCTGCCTCTCAGAGCCCCTCAGTGCAAAGCCAGGATGAGGTACGCGTGGCATCTGTCCACCCCTGCTTTTCCAGTGGATCCAGCACAGGGACCTGCCTGCTCCATGAGCAAGGAGCTCTCTACTCTTGTCCTGCCTTCCTGGTTCACCTGGCCCAGGCAGAGCTGGCTCCCAGACTAGCAAGACAGTGCTCTCTCCCACTCAGTCACTTTCAGTGTCTCAATCAAGGCCAAGCAAATAGCCAGTGCCAAATGAATGCCAACTGTCCTTCAAGCCACCAGGCAGTTCCACGACACTGAGATGTGGCTCCCCAGCCCACCCACCTCTCATCTGCTTCTCCACTCCAGCCCATCTCATGCAGACTTTCCAACTTCTCCAGTCTGCTGACTTCAGCCCAGCCTGGGACCCATCTAGGACGACTCTGCCTGCAGCAGAGTGTGGCCCTGGGGAGAAGAGGGGATACATTCCAGGAGGCCTCTGCTGCCTGCAAAAGGACTAGAATCTTCTCTGAACCAGACTCAAGCCAATTCAAGCTCTACGTCTTCCCCTCCCTCCTATCCCCTTTCTCTGCTCACCCTCCTGCAAGCTTCTTTCTGGTGGGAGTGGGAGGTTTCTGCTTTATGAATTGCCCTCTCTGTCCTGCCCCTCCCACACATATACATACACACAATTTCTGCCTTTTCCCCCTTTTCCTATGTTCAAGGGCCTCAAGAGGCCGAGGCGCACGGGCTGGGGGCCTCTGAGTGCCTCAGGAGAATCCTAATCACACTGGAGCAGCCGGAGCTTGATTCCTTCCTCAGTGATGCCTTCTGACTTTAATGAGTTAAGGCGCTAAATCCCCTTCATCCCAGAGCGGCTGAGCTAGCTGCAATGCTGGCTGCCGCATGCACTGAGTGTGGGGAGGGGCCAGACGACACACACCTGTATCTGCACAGCAGTGTGCTCCAGGGTACAGATCTGCGTGTGTGCAAGGCGGGCAGACAGGGATGCCTGTGAGCACATGTTAATGTGCATGGGGATATGACCCACCAGGGGTCAGGCTGGGCCAGCCACCTACCTCCTCCAAATGGCCAGCACACTCATCACGGAGCCCAGGACGAGGAGGGCCGAGATGGTCACTACGGTGACGACAACAGCGGGGCTCTGGTCCCTGGACCCTGAGGCAGCTGGGAGGAAAATCACGAGGTTGAGGCGGGCAAAGGACCCGGCTCCTGGGCAAGCCCCAGGGCAGACTCCTGTCCTCACCCTGTAGCGGGATTCCCACAGCACCTCGGCACTTGGCACAGCCTCCCAGCCACAGAGCTGCCAAGGCAGTCCCACTGACCACAGTGGCACCTGGAGTCCCAAGAGCTTCCTCTGCTCCCAGGGCAGGACACTTCCAGGTCAGCCCAGCTCCTACTCAGAGAGAGAAGCAGGAGTCCAGACAGGCCGGGCCAGGCCTCCCTCTATGCCTTTTGGATGGGCAGTGAGAGAGACTCAAAGTCACTCTGCAGGAGGAATGGCCTCGGCTCTGAGCTCCCTACCCCCAATCCAAACCATCCACCAACAATAATAAAAAGGGCTAACGGTAACAACACCTTACTCTATTCAAGATGCTGGGCCATGTGCCTTAACTATACTATCTTGTTTCATCATCACAGTAATCTAGGAAGGTATAACTGTCTCCATCTTACAGCTGAGGAAACTGAGGGAGAGAAGTTACATAATTTGCTCAAGGTCACATGGCTAAAAAAGTGGTGAACCTAAGATTTAAGCATGACTCCAAAACTCTCTGCCTGATTCCAAAGCTTCTGCTTTGAACTTTTTCCCCAAGACAGCAGCCTAGAGGACGCTTGCTCTCAGCCCTATTCATGGATCTATCCAATTGACCCATCCAATCAATCCATCCATTCATCCAACTACATGCCCAGTTTGCATTAGTACTGAGGAGATAGTGATTAATCTGGAGGGGTGCATGGGACCATGGGTGTGACAGAAACAAAAATCTTAATTGTAGAATGCAAAAAGAAACAGAAATGAGCAGAGCTGAGCAGAGGCGCAGTAATTTCTTCCTAAAGCCAATAAGGAAGGCTTCATAAAAAAGGTGCCATCGGAACTGGACCTGGAGGCTGGAAGGATTTCTGATGGTGCTTAGATGCACACACTGGGTCTGAAAATGGCAAGTCTTCCCATGTGACTGGGAAACAGACTGCTTGAAGGCGGAGAGTGGCATAGGAAGCTGGAGGGTGGGAAGATTGAGGGAACTGGGGGAGAAGAACCTTGAGTGCTAAGCTAAGGAGTATAAACTTTCTCCTGCGGGCGACAGGGAGCAGTGGAGAGAGTTCCTGTCCAAGAAGAAAAGGAATGAGGGTGTCTGATGAGGTGGGAGTGAGGATGGAGAAGAGGTGCTTGAGAGAGGTGAAGGTTTGGAGTAACTATTAGGAATGGAAAGAGTACTAAGTCGCCCTGAAGCCTGAACTGAGACTGGAAAAGTACATCCCTGCAGGCAGCCTCCATGTGGGACAGTGGGAGGAGAATGGTCCAAGTCTGGGGACTAGCAGCTGGGCATAGTAAGACGTCCAGGGAATGAGGGCTGGCAGAGTTGGGGAGTATTTCTGATGAGATCATCTGCAGGAGCTGGGTAGAGATGGATGTGAAGCCCAGAGGAACTAAAAACCTGGGAGATGAGTTGGACCCAGTGAGCTGTCTTTTGAATGTCACAGAGCAAGTGAGGAGAAACAAAAGAAGAGAATTAGAGGCCAAAAATTCTAAAGTCAAAGAGAGTATTTCAGAGCCCAGGGTTCCAGAGGTAAAGAGGGCCAAGGGTCTGGGCAGGGACAGAAGGGATCAGAGTTGCCAAGAGCTGTTTGAAATGAGGCGTCCATGTGGACACAGAACTGGGGAGTGAGAGAAAGATGGCAGCAGCGAGCAGCCTCTGAGATGGCATTCCCGCCTCCTGGTATCCATTCCCCGGGAGTGTAGGCTGGACTCACCTGTGATGAACAGAATATGGCAAGAGTATTGGGATGTCATTTCCAAGATCAGGAAACAAGATGAATGGCTTCTGTCTTGGGTGCCCTCTCCCTGGCTCACAGTCTCTGGAAGAACCTAGTGGTTGTGGTGGGCAGCCCTAAGGAGAGGCCCATGGGGCAAGAAACAGTAGGCCTCACAGCAGCCAGCAAGACCCTGAGCAGGGAGGTGGACTCTCCCCCAGCTAAGCCCTGAAATGAACACAGCCCCTGAGGACAGCTTGACAGCAGCCTTGGAAAAGACCCTGAATCATGGCACCTAGCTGAGAGGTACCCACATTACCGACCCGTGGAAACATGAGATTGTAGATATTTGTTGTTTTCACCTGCTAGATGTTGGGGCAACTTGTTACACAGCAATAGGTAACTAGTACAGTGGTGAAGCATAAGCCTTCACCAAGACCCTGATTTGGGGCCGGGCATGATGGCTCACCCCTGTAATCCTAACACTTTTGGAAGCCAAGACAGAAGAACTGCTTTGACCCCAGGAGTTTGAGACCAGCCTGGGCAACACAGCAAGATTCCATCTCTGTTTTTTAAAAAAGAAGAAAGATACTGATTTGGAAGGCAGGGGCAGTGGCTCACATCTGTGATCCCAGCACTTTGGAAGGCCAAGTGGATCACCTGAGCCCAGGAGTTTGAAATCAGTCTGAGCAACATAGTGAGACCCCCCAAAACTAAACAATTAGCTGGACATGGTGGCAAGTGCCTGTCTTCTCAGCTACTTGGGGGATCCTGGAAAGTTGAGGCTGCAATGAACTACGATTGTGCCACCGTACTTCAGCCTGGGTGACACAGTAAGACCCTATCTCATCAACAACAAATCTCAATATGGAGACACAGCTGATGGGAAACCATGCTCTGCAGATTGGCAGAACCATAGCCATGGCCACAGGAAGGGAGGCTGGGATCTCAGCAGTTTCTACTCACTGAGAGGCTCCCAATAAATGAGATTATCAGCCCCTCTCCACTGAGCCCCCAGCTCCTGCCCCCACCATGCCCACTCCAGCCAAACCTGCCCCCTTTGTTCAGGTGGCTCCCTCTCTCCAAAACGTCTTCCTGCCCATCTGTACACATTCAAATGTTCCCCAGCTGTAATCTCCTCTTTCCAGCATCTGGCCGAGGTCTGACACTTTTCACATGCAGGCGAGAAGTGTGGTCTTCCTTCCCAGAACTCAGAGCCCCTCAACATTTTATCTTCTCCTCCCTTCGGGCTCAGAGCTCTTCCTATCTTGGATTGGAGTCATGTAGCAGGTTGGAAAGAATTATTATCTTGACAGCTGCTGCCAGAATGGCTCTTAGGGGGAACTGCCTTTGTTCAGGAAAATATTTCCATGAGCTGCTCAGGGTAGATAGAGGTGAGATCCTGAGGGCTGGGTTAGCAGCAGGCAAAGCAACAAGCTAAACTGCTCTGCACACATCAGGGAACTGGGAGTGGGTGGGGAGAAGAGGAACCAGGGGAGGGAAGTAAAGGAGGAGGGAGGAAAGAACAATATTCTAGAGAAGCCAGAGATGTTTTCAGATGAGGATCTTCAATGTCCAGTTCGTGTTTGGTTTTGGTAACAGCTTTATTGAGATATCATTCCCATACCATGTGATTTACCCACTTAAGGTGTGTAATTCTTTTTTTGTTTTTTGTTTTTTTTTTCAGACAGAGTCTCACTTTGTTGCCTAGGCTGGAGTGCAATGGTACCATCTTAGCTCATTGCAACCTCTGCCTCCCAAGTTTAAATGATTCTCGTGCCTCAGCCTCCCAGGTACCTGGGATTACAGGTGCCCACCACCACACCTGGCTAATTTTTGTATTTTTAATAGAGACGGTGTTTCGCCATGTTGGCCAGACTGGTCTCAAACTCCTGACCTCAGGTGATCCACCTGCTTCGGCCTCCCAAAGTGCTGGGATTACAGGTGTGAGCCACCACGCCCAGCTGTAATCCTCATTTGTTGTGTTTATCACTGCAATGCAACCCCTTCATGTCCATCAACCTTCGATGAAGTTAGCATCACACTCTAAGGCCTAGTGGGGAGAGGGACAGTGTCCCGTGTTTGGGTCTCTATCCAAACTGAGTCTCTATCTAGCTGAGACATGGGCTGTAGCTGTCTCTCCTGTGAGCTCCTCCAGGACAGGCTCCCAATCTAATTCATGTTGGTGAATAGGCATTAGTCGGTGGATTCCAGTCATTAATTAATTAGCCTGTAATTAAACTGTTCCGCAGGCTCCCTTAACTGTGCAAATAACTCCAGATAACTCTCCCCATCTATTTGTCTCCCTGCCTCAGCCCTGGGCAGGGTTCTCTCTGTCCAGGTTCCTGTCCACTCACACACACTACTTACCCTCCCCCAGGGTCTGCACTTCAATGCTGGGGTTAAAGCTCTGGGCCTCCCAGGATGGCCCCGGGGAAGCAGCCCGGATCTGAAAGACGTAGCGGGTAGCTGGCTTCAGGTTGGTGACGGTGACTGCAGGCGCCCCTGTCTTTACCGTGGAGTAAGCCTGCTCACTCTGACCCTGGAAAGAGATCAAGAAGTGAAGCCCACCAGCGCCAGACCCACTGTTCTAGGAGAACGAAGGGCAAAAGGAGCAGGGAGGCAGGAGAAGCACATGTGGGTTGAGTGGGAAAACCCAACCCCAATCGTCTTGGGTGATCCCAGGGATCTTTTCCTTGGCTCCTTAGCCCTGTCTTCACCACAAGCTCCCACCCACACTCTGTGGCACTTGCCGCTGAGAATAGCCCCACCTCTGCATAAGGGAAATTTTAGAGAAGACACCAGATCCTCCTTCTGGGGGAATGATAGGATGGGGGCCACCAGGGCCTGTCAGTCCAGGCTGAGCTGGACTGACAGTGCCCTAGGCAGGCCTAAAGCCTCAGAAGACAGAGTGAGAGAATGAGTCTTGACCCACGATAGCCCGCGATGGCTCACAAGGCTTTTCTTTTCCTTGACGTCTGATTTTCACAACTGTCCTACATGGCTGAGAGGACAGAAAGGATTATCTTGTTTGTTTGTTTGTTTGTTTCAGAGATAAGGAAACCCAGCTCAGAGGGGTAAAGACTCCCCCAAGGCCCCAGCTGGAGCTGTCGCTGATGAGCGCTGGCTTCTGCAGGAGACCCTTTACAAGCCCAACCTCCCGTGAGCCTCACAACAGCCCCGTGGAGTCAGCAACTCCATCTCCTTTGTAGGTGAGGTTCACATCAAGGAAAGCACCGGTGCACCCTCCGAAGCCCTGCAGAGCCTGTGCTTACTTCTCGACATCATGGTGCCCCCACTCCACCCCAATACACCTGACAATGGCATACTAGAGACACTCCTCCCATCATTTCATCCCTGCCCGCACCCTGTTAGAGCCCCTGCCATATCCACAGCCCCAGAAGTTTCCTCTCCCCACTGATATTTTGTGGCTCCAGTTCTTTTGCCTTAACATTCAGGAATTGGGACAGACTTTGACTCAAGTTGGGCCAATCAGAATCTCTCTTCCAGGCCACTCAACAGTCCATTGAAAGACAGAGAAGCAGTGGCTTTAGGACCTAGGAGGTAGAGCAGGCTAGGGGCAGGGAGGATGGAGCAATGACATTGGTGACGTGCTGCGAGCAGGCCCCTCTGCAGCATGGGCTGGACTGGTGTGTAGAGAGAGGTTGAGATGAGAAGCACTGAGGGGCTGCCAGATACCACCCCCAGGCCCAGCGGCCCAGCAGGGCTTCAGCTCAGCAGGCTCCTTGAGAGAGCCCTGAAGCCTTTCAAATATAGCCCTTTTATACTTGTTCCTTTTTTTTTTTTTTTTTTTTGAGACAGAGTCTCGCTGTGTCACCCAGGCTGGAGTGCAGTGGTTCAATTTCAGCTCACTGCAACCTCCGCCTCCTGGGTTCAAGTAATTCTCCCTGCCTCAGCCTCCCAAGTAGCTGGGATTATAGGCACCCGCCACCATGGGTTTCGCCATGTTGGACAGCCTAGTCTCGAACTCCTGACCTAAGGCGATCCACCACCTTGGCCACCCAAAGTGCTGGGATTACAGGCATGAACTACCGCTCCCGGCCTTGTTCCTTCTTTTTTATTGTTTTGGGGTTTTGGTGGGTTTTTCTGAGACAGGGTCTTGCTCTGTTGCCCAGGCTGGAGTGCAGTGGTGCAATCACTGCTCACTGCAGCCTTGGCTGCCTGGGCTCAATCCTCCTGCTTCAGCATCCCAAGTTGCTAGGACCACAGGTGCACACCACCATGCTGGGTGATTTCATTTTTGTAAAGGTAGGGGTCTCACTTTATTGCCCAGACTGCTCTTGAACTCCTGGCCTCAAGCCATCCTCCCGCCTGGCCTCCCAAAGTGCTGGGATTACAGGCGAGAGCCAATGAGCCTGGCCCTTGCTCCTGTTTTTGAGGGTTTTCATGCCCAACAAATTCACACTCCCTGGCTAATGACCTGGGAGCATCCATCCAGCTCAGCCTTGGGACTCTTGTCTATGCCCTGATTCCCAATGTCCATTCAGTGAGTCCTTTCTAAGCATCTGCTGCATACCTAGCCCCTTCCCAGCGTCCTTTGCTGCTGTCCCCTAAATATCAGCATTCCTCAGGGCTCTGTCCTGGCCACTCTTCTCAGTGTCCTCCTTGTTCTTCTCCTCTAGTCACCTGGCTACAGCTACTGTCTCTATGCTGAGAACCCACAATACCTCTCTCTCTCTCTCTCTCTCTCTCTCTCTCTCTCTCTCTCTCTCTTTCTCTCTCTTTCTTTTTCTCTCTCTCTCTCCAGGCCAGGCCTCTCCCTTGAGCTTCAGACCTGTAAGTCTACCTAGGTGTCCCACAGGCCCCCTGAATGCTATATGAGCAAAACCAGGTTCATCATCTTGCCCCACGCCTTCCCTTTCAACTCAGTGCTTCTCATCTCAGCCAGTGGTACCCCATACTCTGGGTTACCCAGGCCAGACACCCAGCAGTGACTCAGAACTCTCTCCTCCTTCCTGCTCAGCCCCAACACTCACAGCTCTCAACAGACTTCTAGTATTCAAAATCTATTATCTGATTCAGCAAAGAAGTCCCTCATGTTGTTGAGGAGTAAGTGAAGTTCTGACACAGGTAGAAGCTGAAAGAGGTTTCACTTTAGTGAATATAATTTGTACCAAGGTGAGAAACAGTTTAACGGTAGCTTACATATAGATTTAAAGAAAATAAACTGGCCAGGCACAATGGCTCATGCCTGTAATGCCAGCATTTTGGGAGGCTGAGGCAGGTAGATCACCTGAGGTCAGGAGTTCGAGACCAGCCTGGCCAACATGGTGAAACCCCATCACTACTAAATATACAAAAATTAGCCGGGTGTAGTGGTGGGCGTCTGATCCCAGCTACTTGGGAGGCTGAGGCAGGAGAATCGCTTGAACCCAGGAGGCAGAGGTTGCAGTGAGACGAGATCATGCCACTGCACTCCAGCCTGGGCAACAAGAACAAAACTCTGTTTCAAAATAAAAAAATAAATAAAAAGATAATAAACTTATGGGGAAATGAGCAGATTGGAATGTGACTCCATTTGTTACATCACAGCTAAGCTTCAGCCACAGACTGACAACAAATACAAGAGGTCAGCAAAAATCAGCACAACTATCCTACGGGGATCAATTAGCTATATGGAGTTCACAATCAAGGATTCTGTATATATTTTATTATCACCATAAATGCTGTGCTACACATTTTTTGTATCACTAAAAGTATAATAAATAACTCATACATTTATTGCTCTGGAAAGCTGGCTGCTAAACATCTACCAGCACACCACCACACCTAGCAATGTGCTCCATGGGCACGCATTTTTGTAAAATTAGAAATGATATGATCTTTCTGTGTCCTTTTTCTTTACAAGGGCTCTACAAATGGTACGTATAAGATTCAGCCACACAAAATCTGGACCAAGCCCCAGAGAAATCTCTTTGTCAACTGAGACACTAGGTGACGTGGGAACAATGGAAAGGTGATGGAGATAGATCTGAGCAGAGAGAGGAAGAGCAGGAGTCCGGAAAAGGAGGGAGAGACTCAAGCCTGGGGCCCCTAGGTGAGGGCGGTTATGCTTACAAAGGGAGTAACAAGGGCTTTTGCTGGGAGGATGGCCTGAAGAACCAGAATCCCAGGGTCGGGGACAGGTGCAGACCAGCCTCCAGGTCCCTCCCAGACACGCACTCACCTTCTCGTAGTATCGGATTTCGTACTCGGTGCCATTGGCCCCAGGGGCTCCGACAGGGATGGGCTCCCGCCACGACAGGGACACGCTCTGGGGCTCCACTCGGTCCCTGCGGATCTCATCCTCTTCCCAGGGTGCTGAAAGTAAGTAACGTGGCATTCTCCACCTTGACCCCCTACGCGGCAGGATTTGGGGTAGGGGGAAGAGGGTGCAGTTTGCGGGGCTGTGGGACGGGGCTAAGAGAGGCCTGGGGCGTGGTCTCAGGGGCTGTGGGCGGGGCTAGGGAACAGCCTGAGAGGCGTGGCCAAAGGGGAGGAGTCTGTGAGATGGGAGGAAAGAGGCACCTCTGCCCACGCAGTCCTTTTCTTCTTTGTCCCTAGAGGGAAAAGCGTTAGGCCTTCTGCTGCTTGCCCACCGCCTACACCCCAGCTTCCCTCATGGTGGTTGGCTCTAAAACTCCAGGCTCTTTCTACACTTGCTGCAGCTTGGAGACATAAGAGAGCATTTAGAGGCAGGAAGACCTGCTACTTAACGATTCTAATGGTCTGGTCAAGAGGTAATACACTCAACAAACTAGAAATAGAAGGAAATTATCCCAAAAGAATAAAGGCCATATATGAAAAGCCTACAGTAAGCATTATACTCTATGGTGAAGACTGGAAGCTTTCCCTCCAACATCAGGAAAAAGGCAAGATGTCTGTCTGTCTGCTCTCATCACTTTTATTCATTATAATACCAGAAGTTTTAGCCAGAGCAGTTAGGCAAGAAAAAGAAATAAAAGGCGTCCAAACTGGAAAAGAAGCAGGAAATTTATCTGTTTACAGATGACATGATCTTATCTGTAGAAAACCCTAAAGATTCCACACAGAATTTTTAGGCTAGGCATGGTGGCTCATGCCTATCATCCCAGCACTTTGGGATGCTGAGGTGGGCGGATCACTTTGAGTCCACGAGTTTGAAACCAGCCTGGCCAATATGGCAAAACCTTCTCTCTATTAAAAATACAAAAATTAGCTGGGCGTGGTGGCCCACACCTGTAATTTCAGCTGCTCAGGAGGCTGAGGCTGAAGAATCATGGGGCAGAGGCTGCAGTGAGCCAACGTCACAGCACTGCACTCCATCCTGAGCAACAGAGCAAAACTCCATCTCAAAAAAATAAAATAAAATTTAAAACTAATAAACAAATACAGCAAAGCTGCAGAATACAAAACCAATGCACGAAAATTAGTTGTGTTTCTATAAACGAACAATTCAAAAAGAAAATTAGGAAAACAATCCCACTTACAATAGCATCAAAAATAATAAAATACTTAGAAATAAACTTAACCAAAGGATTGAAAGACTTTCATACAGAAAACTACAAAATATTGCTGAAAGAAATGAAAGAAAACACAAATAGTTGGAAATACATCCTGTGTTCTTGGAATAGAACACTTAATATTGTTAAAATGTTCCTACCACCAAAAGTGAACTACAGATGCAATGCAGTCTTATCAAAATCCCAGGCGTTTTTTACAGACATAGAAAAAATATCCTAAAATTCATATGGAATCTGAAAGGACCATGAATAGTCAACACAATCATGGGAAGGAAAAATAAAATTGGGTCAGAGGCAGGGCTCCCACATATAATCCCAGCACTTTGGGAGGCCAAGGTGGGAGAATCGCTTGAGACCAGCCTGAGCAACACAGTGAGACTCCATTATTTACAAAAACCAACCAACAACAAAACTCACCCACACATGCAAAGGTAGAGTCCTCACACTTCCTGACTTCAAAACATATTTCAAAGCTATAGTAATCAAAACAATATGGTACAGACATATTGACCAACAAAACAGAATACAGAGCCCAGAAATAACTCCTCTCCATGTATGATCAAATGATCTCCCACAGTGTACCAAGGTTATGCTATGCAGAAAGGATAATCTCTTCACCAAATGGCACTGAGAAAAGTGGATATCCACATGTAAAAGAATGAAGTTGGACCCTCACCTTATATCATACACAAAATTGAACTCAAAATGGATTAAAGACCTAAATGTAGGGTCTGAAATGATAAAACTCCTAGAAGAAAACACAGAGGGAAAGCTTCATGACATTGGATTAGGCAATGAATGATTTCTTGAATATGACACCAGAAACACAGGTGGGAAAACCACAAATAGACAAATGAGACTACATCAAACTTTTAACATTCTGCAGAGCACAGGCAACAATAATCAGAGTAAAGAGGCAATCTTTGAAATGGGAGAAAATACTTGCTAACCATATATCTAAGGGGTTAATATCCAGAATGTATGAAGACTGCCAAGAACTCAATAACAAAGACCAAATAACTCAGTTTAAAAATGGACAAAGGATAAAGATGAAAACAAAAACAAACAAACAAAAATGGACAAAGGACTTCAGTAGACTTTTTTTTTTTTTTGGCTACCAGGTGAGGCAGTGAGAGTGGAGAAGGAACAAAGGAATCTATAACTGGATGTGATCAATTAGTTGTAAACAACACTGCACTTGGACCAGCCTGAGTAGACATTTCTTCAAAAGATACAAGCCAAGCGCAGTGGCTCATGCCTGTAATCCCAGCACTTGGGGAGGCCAAGGGGGTGGATCACCTGAGGTCAAGAGTTCGAGACCAACCTGGCCAACATGGTAAAACCCTGTCTGTACTAAAAATACAAAAGTTAGCTGGGCATGATGGCACGCACCTATAATCCCAGCTATTTGGGAGGCTGAGGCATGAGAATTACTTAAACCCGGGAGGCGGAGGTGAGCTGAGATGGCACCATTGCACTCCAGCCTGGGCAACAGAGTGAAACTGTCTCAGAAAAATAAAAAAAGATATACAAATGGCCAAGAAGTACATGAAAAGATGTGTAATATCATTAATCATCAGGGAAATGCAAATCAAAACCACAATGAGATATCACCTCACACCCTTTAGGATGACCACTACCAAAAATATAGAACATAACAAGTGTTGGCAAGGACATGAAGAAACTGGAACCCTTGTACATCATTGGTAGGAATGCAAATTGGCACAGCTGCCATGGAAAACAATATGGAGGTTCCTCAAAAAATTATAGTTACTATATGATCCAGCAATCCTGATTCTGGTCATATATCCAAAAGAAATCCGGTCTTGAATACTGCTCACCCATGTTCAGTGGGGCATTATTCATAATAACCAAGAGGCGGAAGCAACCAAAATGTATAAGTAGATAAATGGATACAGAAAATATGGTGTATATACACAATAGGGTACTACCAATCCTTAAAAAGAAGAAAACTCTGTCGTATGCCACAATATGAATGAACCTTGAAGACATTATGCTAAGAAAAATAATCCAGTCACAAAAAGACAAATACTGCATGATTCCACTTATGTGAGGTATCTAAAGCAGTCAAACTCTTTGAAACAGAAAGTAGAATAGTAGGCCAGGTGCAGTGGCTCATGCTTGTAAACCCAGTGGCTCACGCCTGTAAACCCAGCACACCTAGGGACCAAGGCAGGTGGATCACTTGAGGCCAGGAATTTGAGACCAGTCTGGCCAATGTGGCGAAAGCCTGTCTCTACTAAAAATATAGAAATTAACCAGGCATGGTGGCAGATGTCTATAATCTCAGCTATTCGGGAGGCTGAAGCAGGAGAATCAGTTGAACCCTGGAAGCAGAGGTTGCAGTGAGCCAAGATTGCACCAGTGCCCTTTAACCTGGTCGACAGAGTGACACGCTGACTCAAAAAAACAAAGAAAAAAAGGCTGGGCAAGTGGCTTATGCCTGGAATCCCAACACTTTGGGAGGCCAAGGCAGGCAGATCACCTGAGGTAGGGAAATCGAGACCAGCCTGACCAACATGGAGAAACCCCATCTCTACTAAAAATACAAAATTAGCCAGGCATGGTGGCACATGCCTATAATCCCAGCTACTTGGGAGGCTGAGGCAGGAGAATCACTTGAACTTGGGAGGCAGAGGTTGTGGTGAGCTGAGATCACACCATTGGACTCCAGTCTGGGCAATAAAAGTAAAACTTCGTCTCAAAAAAAAAAAAAAAAGGAAAGGAAAAGGGGCCAGGGGCAGTGGCTCATGCCTGTAATCCCAGCACTTTGGGAGGCCGAGGCAGGTAGATCACCTAAAGTCAGGAGTTTGAGACCAGCCTGGCCAACATGGTGAAACCTTGTCTCTACTAAAAATACAAAAATTAGCCAGGTGTGGTGACAGGTGCCTATAACCCCAGCTACTTGGAAGGCTGAGGCAGGAGAATCACTTGAACCCAGGAGGCAGAGGTTGCAGTGAGCTGAGATTGCGCCATTATACTCTAGCCTGATGGACAAGAGCGAGCCTGAGTCTTAGGGAAAAAAAAGAAAGTAGAATGGTAGTTGCCAGGGGAGGGTGGTGGGGGTAAAGGGGAGTTGTTGAATGGATATAGAATTACAGCTTTGCAAGATGAAAAAGTTCTAAAGACCAGGTGGTGTAGTTCATGGCTGTAATCTCAGCACTCTGGGAGGGCCAAGGTAGGAGGATCACTTGAGCCCAAGAGTTCAACACCAGCCTGGACAACAAAGTGAAACCCTGTCTCTGCAAAAAATCAAAAAATTAGGTGGGCATGGTGACACACACCTGTGGTCCCAGCTACATGGGAGGCTGAGGCAGGAGGATTGCCTGAGCCCAGAAGGTCAAGGCTGCCACTGCACTCCAGCCTAGGCAATATAGCAAGGCCCCATCTCAAAAAATAAAAAGAAAAGGAAAAGAAAAAGTTATAGAGATCCATTGAAAAACATATCTAGTTAACATACTGTACAATACACATAAAATAGGTAAGACGATACATTTTATGTGTTTTTTACAATAAAAAAATTTGATGCCCAGGTCACAACCCAGAGCTAACAAGTCTTCACCTCTGTAGGCTGGAGCTCAGGAATTCGTTGTTTTATTTAAGTTTCTTGGTGATTCCAGTGTGCAGACAAGTTGAGAATTGATGGTCTAGATGATGTGGAGTGAACAGCAGCATACACACACATACACACATGTACAGGAGGTAATAAGGCCTGGGGTTTGTGTTCAGCAAAGAGGTTTCCAAGAGAAGATGCCAGGAAGGCAGTGGGAGAAATGGTCCCAGGTCTCAGAAAAGGTG